ACACCTCATCTGACGGTCCAAACACGACAATCCTTACTTGCATCCATTGCATCTTACACCTCTACTAATGGCCCCAAAAATTATCTTTCTTACTTGCACCGTGATTATTACATCTTTTTCATGGGCTTTATTTGCCTGTGCAGGACGTTCCCTCTTACTTTTTTGCACACCTCGTATCGTATTTTCATCCCTTATACTTATTTCTCCAACTTGTGTATGAACCAAAAATCGATTTCAAGGTACAAAAAATTAATTTAAAAAACTAAATTTTTTATTTTTTCCGTCTCTTGTCTACTCTTGTACTATCTATAATCTAAAATATCTTCTTATATACACTTATAAAAATCTCCTGCAAACTTACTGTACATCTACGTTTCGTTACGTACTATGCCTAAGTCATCTTGTCAAAGTTTTTTATGATAATATCTTGTTGCATTTTATTGGTTACTGCAAATACTTCGGTTCGGTTGCTTCGTTCTGAGATTTTGTCTTTCCTTTTTCGCTGTGACTTTTCACAAACAACCGGTTTATGCACTTCACGAAAAAAATTCGAGTCTTTTGGRTTCCAGACAATCTTGCAGTTTTTTCTATCTCCATAAACACTGGCAGACTGGACACTTCATTTAGTCTGTGAGTATTTTCTAGTTGTCGACTAGCACTGCGCAATCTCTTAGTAAGGTCATTGAAAGCAGTTTCGTTTTTGCTATTGAAGACTCTTAAAACTCTRGTAAGAGTACACTGGAGTTTTAAGAGCCGTCAATAATAACAGTTACACTGCTCGTTTCGGTTGCYTGTTGATCCGGTTTATATTAGTCAACGGCTGACTGAGATTGCGTAAACTTTTGTTCGTGTCCAGCTTTTGTAGTTCACCGTATGGCATCCAGCTGAATTGAACCCTGTTGAATCCGCGTCAGTTTATATTAGTCCACAGTTTGCGCAATCTTTTTTTCGTGTCTAGCTTGTTTGCTCACCGTATCGCATTCAGTTTTGGCTCTCAATTTCTGTAACCTCCTGTAAAACTGATGAGTTTTTTCTTAGCCCTAAGYACTGCGCAATCTGGGGTGGTCTTGTGACACATTATCCACAGTCGAATCGAATTTAAAAAGATATGTTTTACCACTTGTGGTTTGTTCTTTTTCTGTCCATCCAYATTGGTTTTTAGTACCAAACACTGCGCAAATCTCCCATCAATAAGCTTTCATGTCTTGAGTTCGCGACTACACTTCTGTAATAACTGAAGGCTTACGCGCTTTTTTGTTTTTATTTACGGAATTTCTATCATTACTCTGTCCAGAAAAACTCGCGYTTAAACCTTCATTATCATTGGCATTACTCTGGCTTTCGAGCAGACTTTCTGTCGTCTCGTCATTTTTATCAGTAAAAACCCGCGATCCAGGTAGCGAAGTATTACTACTCTTAGAGAAATCCGCTTGAGAATTCCTCGACCTTCCATMAGAAACTTCTTCATTTATTAATGGAACGTTCTGTTCTATTCGTATGTTTTCGTACGAATTTTCCCGCGCGTTTTCGTCATTTTCCTCATTGTTGTCATCTTCCAGTAAAAGTGGAATTAGATTCTCAGATGTCCTGCTGTCTCTATCGTTCGACGTCGTATCGCTTCTTGATAAATCACATTCGTTGTCTTCCGAACTACTCATGAAAATGGACGACGAATCCTTGAGTGGGTTGTTTATTAATTCTGATGAGGGAGAACGTGGACAAAGAGGACTAATCAAAGCACCTTGAAGATCCAAATAATCCTGCGATAAAATAATACTATATTTAAATAAAGTCTTTGTAACATTATATTGTGTGCGCTGGTAATGCGCCGCCTTCCGCCACAGTAGTCGTGGGTTTGCGCCATCATGTGCAAGTGGAGTTGTCAGTTGCCGATTCTCTTTTATGGTTAGAGGTTTTTTTCTATATGTAAGAGAGGGTTGTTTGCGTGTTTTTTCCTGCGCAAGCTTCGTTGTTTTTTTTATCTGCAAGTGGAGTTGTTTGATGGTTCTCTGCTGTGCCGAGGGAGCTTTCTGCGAGTAGAGACAGTTGCGTATTCTTTCCTGTGCAGCGCATGATTCAAGGGGTTTCTTGTGTATGCTTTTTTGTCAGTTTTCTCATTCTGTGCTCACAGGGTTTTTTCCTCTATGTGTAGGGATGTTTGCCGTTTTTCTATTATGCAAGCGGGTTTTCTCATGCGTGAGCAGGGTCGTTGGTTGGTTTTCGTCTCTTTATTAAAAAATGACCCGCAAAGGTTGCCCCACCTTGCATGGGTATCATTTCACATTCATGACCATATCCATTAAAGTTGAAATAAGGCCGTAAGCCCTTCCACCCACTCACCCAATCATTTAAAGTTGAGCCGATAACTCAAAACAAAGTCTGAACATCTCTAAATCGCTAAGTGCTAATTTCGTGAAGGCGTAGCCGGTAGTCCAGTGGTTAACAACGGGAACAACTCAGGTCCTGGATGGGTGACCTTAACCTGTCTATTCAAAGTTTTCTCTAAAGAAACTCGAAAACAGCAGAGCTCTGATGTTTCCCGTTAACCAATCAAGCGTAACCAAGCACTTGCAGATTCCAGTTCAGTCATGCAACGAGAGCCGTAGATTTGTTAACAAGTGAGACATTAATTAATGTTACTGTAGAAAGAGGGCCGACTTGACTCGTGTCTACTAAAATGTTTGCACAGTCTTGTGCGCATATCATAATAGACGATTATCGAATTCGTACAATACTGCTGTGTTCCTTGATTGAAGACTCATATTCAGGGTTAGCCTCAAAGTCACATAAACCAACGTTAAAGAAAAGAATGCACTTCAACAAATACAACATTTAAAATTCCATGGACCTTCACTACAATACATGAAAATTTAACACAAAGGCTAATCACTGAGCAACAGAGAACTCGAAACTGGAGTATTCATTTTGTCAAGGTAATGGTAATTCCAGAAATGGACGTTTCTGTGAAATCTGTCTATTTTCTTCACGGAAAAAATCAAAGATTTGTTGCTGATATTGCAACA